TAGTAGTAGTAGTAGTAGTAGTAGTAGTAGTAGTAGTAGTAGTAGTAGTAGTAGTAGTATTTGTATGCCACCTTTCTCCCAATAAGGAGACCCAAGGCGGCTCACAATATTAAAGCGAATAGAATTGAAAACATGTTAAGTTATACATTTAAAAAAAATATTAAACGATATGCTCGTTGAAATACAATTGAATAATAAAAAGCAAGTCAACCTTAGAAACTATTGTAACTCTAAAAAGGCACTCGGGGATTCGTGTATAATTTTTAAAAGCCGGCCTGAAAAGATGGGTCTTTAACTTTTCTCGGAAGGATAAAAGGGAAGGGGCCGATTTTGCAATGAGCATACAGTATAGCGGTTGTGTTTGTAGTTCTTCCCAACAGGATTCTGGCTTAAACTTTGTTCAATGGAAAATGTTCTGCCCCACATCATTGATATCAACACATGATCAAGAACCAGTATTGTTACATACAGCACTGATGTTACCTGTCTGTCATGGGTTTGGAGGGAAAGTTCCATCCTATGGGGAGTGGAAGGCGGGTAACTGGGCCCGGAAACGAACTGGTAGCCAGTGCAGTTCTTGTAACAGGTGCGTTATATGCTCCCTGTAGCTGGCCCCAGTCAGTAGTCTGGCAGCAGAGTTTTGCACCAGCTGAAGTGCACTTATTACGCCGTCTTCATCCACTTATCTGCTTCCAACAGAGTTTAACAGTTCCATTTGGGCTCCTCCAGTACCACTGTCACTGCCTCTACAATCAGTTGCACCACTTAGTTAAACTTCAAAGTGAAGCCATTTGGCATTCATTCATTGCTACTCATCTATGTTATCAAACAATTAGTTTTTTTGTAGAAACAGGAAGTTTTCCAACAGAAAAACTGAACGTAGGGACAAGAATTCATTTGGAAAAGGCTGTGCATGCAGCTGTAACATAGCAAGTACAGTGGTGCCTCCCTTAACAATGTTAATTGGTTCAAAAAAAATTAGCTGACTCTCCTCTTGTGTGACTGATTTTGCAATGAGCATACAGTATAGCGGTTGTGTTTGTAGTTCTTCCCAACAAGATTCTGGCTTAAACTTTGTTCAATGGAAAATGTTCTGCCCCACATCATTGATATCAACACATGATCAAGAACCAGTATAAAGCAGGATTCCTTGAAGAAAAGCAAACAGAAGGCCTCCTTGGACTTTTTCCCTTTAACACAGGTCAGGAAATGAGCAGGCACAGACTCTGGGAGAGGGCTTTATATGAATCCCCATCTCCCTGTCCAGCTTTTGGCCTTTCTGCAAGCAATCTGGATATCTGCATAAAAACCCTGTCAGCTAGAATTCTCCATTTTAAATACTGATGATAAAAACAAAGTGTTCAAAATCTTCCTTGCAGTAGAGAAACACGTCTATGGCTTACCCCCTCCCCCCCCAAAAAAGGACAACTTGTTACAGAATAAATGAGATGTTCCTAGGGGATATACAGTAGGATACAATCTGTGTGCATGCTAATTGAATTATGTCTTCTCTCGGCACTATTGAGTGCTGAAAAGACTCATTTGGAAAAAGCCAAGGACCTCCTGCACTGGCTAGCCAATTAGAGTGTGTCTTGGGGCAACTTCCCTCCTTGCATCTCGCAAGCGTGGAGGTCTTTTGCCCCGTCATCCATGTGATTGGCAGGCAGTATTAAAGAGAGGACAGTTTTGCTGGCAGACATGCCCACAGATTAGATGTGGCAACACTATAAATGGGCTGTCCTCCCTTGCCTCAACCCCTCCAGTTAAATTCCACCTGCTGTCCTACATTGGGTGTGGGTACATAATAGCTGCAAGGGGACAACACTGCACAAAGGATGTGTGACTTGCAATAAATACAGAAATGTAAAAATCATATACTATTCTCTTGTGCGATCCTTTGTCTCAATATACGACAAACCTTTGCTGAGAGAATTCATCTTCTTCCATAGTCTAGATTTTTTTGGTTTTTTTTTTTTTTTTGCTTCTTTAGACGTCATGGTTTTTGTAAAGATTCAGGATCATAAATTTGATTGTGGGGGTGAGATGGAGAGAGTGGTTAAGAAGCTCAGACTAAAACCAACATTTTCCTCTTTTTATTTTCCCTCTGCAGCCCCCAACCACACATCCCAGTTCCACTAAGTTGTGTTTATGGATTGCTACTACATAAACTTTTGCTGCAGGAAGAAGCTAAGCAGCTGGAGCAGAAGGGTTACAGCAGGTCTCCCCAGGCTTGGCTGCAGAGAAGTCCCACCACTTCCCCAATCATCATTCCATTCCAGCTGGGAACAAGGAACAAATGTGTGCAAGTATCAGCCCATCTCTAGATACTCACTCAGGTCTGGTAATTAAATTCTAAATGCCAGGTGCAAACAAAAGTATATTTAAATTTTTTTTTTAGAAAACTGTGCACTCTGAAAACAGCCATGTATTTACTTCACCCTCTAGTTTGCTGAAGGAGTGAATCGCAACCCCAAGAAACTTGAAAATAAACAAAACCCTAAGACACTTTTAACTTGGCTTTCTCTCATACAAAGAGGAATCATCATCTCAGCAGCATCGCCACCATCATTAGCACTTTATAGAGGCTAGGTAGATGCACTATTCCTTGTCAGAAATGGTGGAGATTAAAGGTCATAAGTGAGGGAGGTTATCAGGCCCCTTCACAAGGTAGGTGACAACACTGCTAGAATCTGAAATGAGAGAATCAAGGAACAAAGGAGGAGGCAAGTAATGGTATTTACCCCTCCCTCTGCCCCTGTTCACAACATCAAGCCCACTCTTGGTTCAATCTCATTCCATGGCAAACACAATGAAACTGTTCTAGAAGAGCGGGAATCTTATATGATTAGAATAAGGGAGCCACACATTTTTATGCTGAACTTGCATATAGGCCATAACACATTTTCAAAAGCACAATTTCTACTCACATATTTTCTTTTGTACTCAGAAAGTTGCGAGAGGCCAAAAACAGTCGCTACAGCACCTCCTCCAACAAGGATAGCTCCTTTCACTGCCTTTTGGAAAGCCATTTTTAACTCTGCAAAGAAAAACAGAGAAAGGAGCATTAAAACATCATAAACATTATAGCAAGACACCTAACATGGCTACCTCTTCTAAAATCAGAGCGATACGTTTGTTTAAACCAGAAACAAAAAAATCTGTTGAAATAAGTTTGTGTGTTCTAAACAAATGTCTATAAAATGGCAACCACAAGTTCTGTGGAAGTATTCACTTGACTTATTTGCATCCAAACCTTTCCTCCATTTTAGGATGGAATGTTTAATGGCTCAGGCGCTGTACGTTTTCATTTCAAGGTCTTGTGAAGAATTTACGGATTGGCAAATAGATGGGTTAGAGCTGTAGTTAATCCACAACAAGCATGATAATATTGATGGGAAAAACCCACAAATGATTGCACCCCAGGTCTCAAGAATGATGCTGCTAGCATCATAGCACATCTATTCACTGACTGTAGTGGTTACAGCCATCCCAAAGTATTTTGCAACTGTTAAAAACGTTATTCTGAATAAATGATATTGGCCTTAAAATAAGTCCATGGATGGCAAGTGTTCTTAGAGGTATCACTTGGTTACTCTCAAAAATGGCAGCAATAGGACTGGGAAGGGAGCAGATAGTGCTTGAAGACTTCTCCTAAGTCTTTCCGGCATTTTTACTGCCACTCACCAGAAATAAACACCACAAAGCACTAAGACCTTCAATGGAAAGTACATGTCACAATTAACTTTTTTTTAAAGTACATTTTTAAAAAGGCCTAACTATATCACACTTTTTTTAATTACAGCTGTATGAGAGGAGATGAATTCTTGCACAGAACAAACACACTGCACAGGGAGAAGACCCTGAAGTTACTAGAAGTGATGTCACGTGCAGATGCTCACAGACATATCTATAAACTTTGGAGGACGGTTTCTGCTGAGTCAAGAACTATTGGTGGCAATGGAAGAACAGCGGCCTGTTTGTTCCCTTCTACAGCCTTCTCACTGGTTCTGACAGTAGCAAATTGAGGTTTTCCAGGAGTAGATGTTTTTCCCCATGCTCTCCAATGGACAAAGTGTGCCTCTATCAAATGAGCACCATATGATCACAGACATGAGTAAATTTGCTCTACTTCTTTCAAATGCCATATGCCTATACAACCAGGGAACATTTACCTCTGACATTCAGATGTGCACAATGCTGGTATATCACTATGCACAGAACAGTACAGCTGCCAAAACCTCAGATAAACCCTAGACCTGATTTACTTTCTTTCTCACCCTAAATATTTGAGCAACTACTGTACACAGAATTCCTTTCTTAACATGGCTGTCACAATGGTACAATGTGGTGAAAGGGAGGAGTCTTTGGTCTTTCAGAGGTTTTGTTCTTTAATAAGAACAACAATAATCTTAGAACTGCAGAGCTGGAAGAGACCCTCTGGATCACTGAGTCCAGCCCATGAAGTAGGCAAAGTGGGGAATCGAACTCCAAACTACAGACAGGCATAAACTTTGGTCTGGAGGTTCATGCCCGTTTGTACACATGGCACCACAGATGTCACGTGTTCCCTTCTCTGCTTCCCTGACTGGTTCCCCCACTCACCAGCTGGAGCACACTACTCTCCTCCTCTTCAGTAGTTTGATCAGCCTTAAGTAGGAGTGCAGGCTTCTCTGCCCCGCTTCCTTGGCTGACCACCCATTCAAACAAGGAGGCAGGACAGGCAATCCTGTGCTCCTGCCTGGGATTGGCTGAACAGCCAAAGAGGAGAAGAGAGGCATGTTCCGAATGGTGAGTGGTCATTAGCCAGGGAGGCAGGGGAAGGGAACAAGGTTCAGGCCCATCTCTATTCCCAACCTCTGGCTCCACAGAAGCCTAAACCACTGAGTTATCTAGCAGTTCTGCTGAAGTCAGCACTGCCAGTTATTGGAGTTGCAGGGATTTAAAGAGTTGTACAGTAGTTCAACACATCTGAAGCACCCAAAGTTCCTCACCTGTGATGCAATATTTTTACTAGCAAAATACTGTACACATTTTCTTGCATTTTTAGCAGATAGTATCTAGAACAAAAACATTACATTTTATTTAATATTCTTACAGGGTGACTCAAGGAGAAAGTTGCATGACTTGACAGAAGACAGACCAATTCAAGTAGCATGGAACAAGGAAAACGGAGATTAGGCTGATGAAAAACCAAGTTCAGATGTTACCAATTTAAAAAAAACTGGTAAGATTCCCAGAACTCTAGCCCAACCTAGAACCTACATCATCTCTGTACTCCAAGGAGAAGTATTTATCATTGCTGGTGCATACCAGGAAATTAATCATAATCTGTTCTCCTCACATTTCAAAAATTTCTTGCTCAAGCCCATTCATGGGATGAAGAATTCCCTTAGTATGATGATTAACTCCCAGGTCTTAATTATTCATTCTGTCTGCACAGAATGAGCCAGATATTATGCTTCTAAACTGCCTCTCCATAGCCTAGGTAGAATATGACAGAAAAACTAAAGAATGTATCAGAAAGTGATGAGAAAGTTCCTAGTGTCTGAACACAGACGTCAATAGTACAAACCAGTCTATTGTGGAGAGAGAAAAGAAAGTTCCTCCCATCTGATAATTTTCCTTCAGAAGAAAACTGAAATCTGAGGGAAATTTAACACAGATGCAATACTTCCACATTAGACTCAGAACACTTTTAAAATATAATTAACTGTGGCAAGTCACACAACATCTATGCGAATGTCAATATAATTCTGGCCATTATACAGTATTTGTCATACGGATGAAACCTATAAAACAATACTACTGCATGTTTATCCAGAAGTAAGCCTCTACTCTTTAAAACTGAATTTACTCCTAGAGAAGCATGTCCAGGACTGCTGTCTCAAAAGCATGCCTGACATTGTAGTCCTGTACTCAGAAGTAAGGCTCACCAGATGTTTCTCCAGATGTACTGGAGCTGAGGCTCCAGTACTTTGGCCATCTCATGAGAAGAGAAGAATCCTTGGAAAAGACCTTGATGTTGGGAAAGTGTGGAAGCAAGAGGAGAAGGGGACTCCTGACAGAGGATGAGATGGCTGGACAGTGTCTGCGAAGCAACCAATATGAATTTGACACAACTATGGGAGGCAGTGGAAGACAGGAGGGCCTGGCGTGCTCTGGTCCATGGGGTCACGAAGAGTCAGGCACGACTAAACGACGACGACTACCTCTTTGGTTTCAGCAAGGAAATGGGTTAACAAGAAAGGCATTTCAGGTATTTCTCCAATTTCCCAAACAACTAAGGGTGTGTTTTATTGCTGTTGTGGTTCCTATGTGCCTTCAAATCAGGACTTGCAGTGACCGGAACAGGGCTTTCAAGGCAAGTCAGGCTGAGGAGTGGCTTTACCGGTTCCACAGCCCCATGGCTGAGTGGGGATTCAAATTCAAGCCTGAGTCCTAATTCATTACTATATCCACTACACCAAACTGAGTATCGAGGCTGTGGCTAGATGGGGGAAATGATCTCAACTTGGCTCCAACCAAATAAAGCTCAAAAGGGTGGCCTGCCAGAAACTGAACTAAAACAGAGCACTTCAACTTGCACCACACACACACAAAAAGAAAAGTGGTCCCTGCTGATGATCCAAAAAAGGTCAAATTCAGTACTGAAAGGGATTGAGCTGGTTCGCAATTAGCTTTATGTCAGGGGATCACATAATAGACTGCACTTCACCACGGCTCTCAGCAGACCAAAACAGGGGATAAATCGCCCTAAAGCTGCCCTCTAAGGTTCTGCATGCTCCTCTCCATCAAGATGTAGAGCAGGATCTGCTAGCTGTGTAGGAATTTTGGTCTAACACACCAAGAGGACATTAGGTTGTGAAAGGCTGGATCAGATAATGTTGCCCAGTACAAAAAATGACTCTTTAAAAAGCAGTATGTGTGTGTTCTGTGCTGTCAAGTCAGAACCAACTTCTAGCAACCCTAAAAGGGCTTTCTCAATGTGAGATATTTAAGGAGTGATGTTACCACTTCTACTCCCCCAATGAGTTTCCATGGCCAAGTGGGGATTCAAACCCTTCTCCCCAGAGTCCTAGTCCATCACTCTGTCCTCTACACCAAACTATGAATTCAAAAGAGACGAGGTTTTTTAAGGGTTATTGTTATTAGTTTTAATATTTCTATTTTCATTTTTGTTTTGTTATTTTACGAGTTGTAACCCGCCCAAAATAGTGCTGTGACACTAATGGGAGCGGGATACAAATTAATATACTTCCTATATTAAAGACTTCATATTTTGAACCAGTAAAACTAAGGCTTACATAGCAAAAGAACATATTAAAGAAAAACTAGATCTCAAGGGAGAAAATTACACCAGAATTCCTCATTTCAAAATGCTAATTTTCTCTAAGACAGGACATTTTTTTAAAAAAAATCACTGATAAACATTCAATGGGCAAAATCCTGTTGCGCCTTGAAGCTAATGGCATAACTTTTAGATACCAATTGCCGTAAATTAAAGAAATACCAATAGGCTGTGGAAACCGGGTCATGGTTGGAGTGCCGTCTCTGTCTCTCCCCAAAGCATCCAAGGGGACGCAGACACCTCCACCCCCTATTCCTCCTAGGTTGGTGCATCGAGGAGTCGACACCCAAGACTTAACCTGAGGGATGAAGGGGTTAACAATGTCCACCCAGACCTACCCTGAAATGGCAGGAAGAGAGTAGAGTGGGCAGTCTGTGGTGGAGGCAGGCATGGGTGATATAAAAGGGAACCGGGACGACATCCTGGGGGGTTGGGAATTGATCTGGATGCAGGACCCGTGGACTGGGCGATGGGAGCAGGTCCGGGTCCCTAAGCAAGAAGCAGAGAGCCGCAGGAGAAAAGGACTCCCACAGCGCCCATCTTACTGGGGTGAATCTGAAACCCGGGAGTGGTGACGTAAGCTGAGGGAGGAGAAGGAGGCGGGCGAGCGAGAGTAAGAGGCAAAAAGGGCATGGCATCTGGAGGAATTGAAGAGACTGGGGTGTTTCCTGGACCTTGGAGTGCCAACC